CCTCAGTGTAGGAATTAAACCCCAGGTTTAAGAGTTGCCTTCCTACTCCTATCAGAAATGCACATTCCTAAGGGATGGGACAGAGTGCATGGAAGAATGGACAGTGGATGAGAATGCTCATACCCAGCCCTAGCAAGTTCATTCATCTTTGTATTGCACAGGTTATGGTTCCAAAAGTAGGTAATGGAGACTGAAAATCCTTAACAAAGTAGAGGATATATGAGCCAAAATATTCTGATTGTCTCAAAATATCAGTCCTATATTTTTATACTATGAAATAGAAGGTATCTGTGAATGCACTTTTGAAATGAGTGGGAAATACCAGCCAAGACCCAGTGAGACTCAACCATTTTTGTAATTGCATTGTTATTTTTGTAGCAGTGTTTCCAAGAATAGAAGCTTTGTTGCCCTCAATTTTAAACTAATAACTTGAGTAGTTTTAATAGAAATAGGACTGCTTGCTAATTTGCGATCACATGCTGTTTTAAATACTGGATAGTTTAACAAAATGCTTTAATGTCTACAACTATAATTTAGAGTTTGAATAAAGTTCTTAATGCCATTTAGTAATAAGGATGCTTCCTTTGCATGTGAAATTGCACACCTGCAAAACAACTGTCCCATTTTCTTGGCTGAAATTGGTATAATTAGGATCCTCACTTTTAGTTATAGCCTCTTTGTTTTAACATGCTTATTGCTTTCCAAGGCAGCTCCATTAGTATACCTTTTGCTGTAACCTGGAATGACTTTTAAGTTAAAAAAACATTCCCCCTCCCACCCAGGAGCGAAATATGTCATTCCATATCCTCTCCCTCCAGTTTTATTATGTAAAAATATTGGGGTATTTTGTTTCTTCATGTATCTTTCACATAGGAAAATTACTTTAAAATTACAAGTTTAGAACCTTGACTGAAGAGTTTGGGGAGTTTTGGCTAAACCCTTTAATTTACCATTAAGATTTTGAGAGATTTAAAGCTTCAGCGCAAAAGTGAAAGGATCAGCATAGAGACTAAATTGCAATAAAAGTGATATAAGCAGTCAGAAGGAAGCTTCCAAGTCACTTTAGTCTGAAAGTGCTCACTGTTCTACTGATATGATTAGCTAATAGAAGACCTACTTTTTGTAAGTTAAGACACAGTAGCTTCATATTTGCATGCAAAGATAATAGGTCCTATTTTTAATGTAGTAATAGTGCATGAACTTTAATTTTTGTATTTGTTTTTAAAATTTCTTTAGCACCATTACCAAGGCTGTGCTGTGTGTATTCTCTGTGCTCTTACATTTTGTGTTACATTGGTGATGTGTAGTTGCACAGACTCATGGTTCAAACAAGAAAAAGGATTTTTATTTTGATTCTTTTCTAGTTCATGACAGTTCAAAAATTACAAAGAGCACTGAAGCAGTTATTTGGGTTGCCTCTAATTTAACTACATGTCATCTTCTGGAAGTGGATGTTTGAGGGAAGGTATACCTTGTACCTAGTTCTTTGCCCCATCCAGAAGAATTGGAGAGAAACCTGCAGGTACACATTTAAAACAGAGAAAGCTTTTTGGGACCCCTTGTTCCTTGGTTGAAGTTCAGACAAAGGCTTCTGATGGTGCTTCAGTGGGTGCTCTGGACATTGGCTTGAGAAGGGGTCATGGCTCAGCAACAGCAACCTCTGGATTCCCACCTCTGAATGTGGGTTTTAGGTGAGATCCTTCCATTCTAAACTGGGGTTCCCAAACGGTTAAAATTCATAGCTATTGTAAATAAATTCTGTGGAAGTGGATCAAGCTTTAAGTCTACTTGCAAAATAATTTTTAAAGTTCTAGAGAAATTCTTATACCTTAATTTATGAATATAACTAAACACCTTTGTCTACTTCTCAGTGAATTTAATACTTTTACCTGGCAGTAGGAAGTGGTACGAGGAAAATACATGAATCCTTGAGAAACACAGGGCTCAGGGGTTGGGTGAAGGTCAGTGGTACCTGCTGATGGTCATTGGATAAGATGATCTTGAAAACCAGCATTGTTACTTAAAAATAAAGCAAGTCCTTTTGCACAGTGGAGCAAGTAGATGGTTTCTTTACTTTTACACTGGTGTCCTGTGTCTCCTAGGCCATTATTCCTGAAAATAATAAAATGCCTGCTTTGTTTTTAGGTCCTGCTTCAAGCTTCTGCTTTAACCATGGGATAGTTTTATCTGTTTCAAGGATAAATACCTTTGTGGATAGAATATGATTGCTATACATAGAGCAACTTATCATTTCCTCTTGCTCTAAAATGTGGTGGATAGACCATCACTGCATGTTGTGATTGTGTTTCTGCTTTTTCTACATCATCCACATACTCTTGAAGTGTTTTAGCTGTAGGGAACATCTGTCACAAACCCAAATGTTTATATTCATATAAATTGGCAGTTGTGTCAGCTCTTCAAAGAGATGTTCATCGTGATCTTTTTTGTAAGCAGATGTGCTGTGACTGGAAAAGCTTCTTTAATAATTAAGTATGATTAAATTATCTGGAATCTCTTCCAGTTACTGAAGCAGCATTGAAGATTGTGATTCTTCTTACAAAAATACAATTGCTTGGATTTTGCATTACAAATGTATGCTAAAGTCATGTCTGGAAATCAGAGCAAAGTTCTCTTCAGACTGTACAGTGAGCAGAACTAAAATCGGGGCAGTTGTGCTTCAGATTATTTATTTGTTTATTTTCTATAAAATTAAATGCATTAATAATGATACGTACAGTTTCTTCATGGATTTTCTACTTTTAAAGGCTTGATTAGAAAAAAATTAGCTTCATGTATTCACTTGTAGGACATCACAGTAGTCAAGCAACCTGCCCAAAAGGAACTGATGCATGATGAAAGTATTATTTTGTATTTCAGTTACAAAGATGGAGTTCAATATCTCTCCCACTGTGGGCTGTCAGATAGAGAAAGAATTTCTAATTCAATTTAAACCTCATTGAGTTCGATCTCTGTAGGAATGTGTTGGACCCTGAAGGCAGTGTTCTCAACAGCCTCCTGCTATAGGTTATTGGTGAGCTGCTTTTCCTGTAGGAGGAAAGAGAGATGAAAAAGGCAGAGGGATGACTGGTCTTTAAAAATTTGTTACAGAACCACTAGTATTAATATTAAGTTTTATTAGATTTTAAATATATTAAGATTCTTTTAAAGCAGCACAAAATGCTGTAGTTCATACATTTGAGTTTAGTGTCAGGTTTTAATAGTTTTATGCAGTCTTTTTGGCAATGTTTTCCTCTTCTTGGCTCTATTGTATATAATATAGTTTCCGAGATTTCTACACAATTTGCTTATGTTTTCAGTGCTTTTTTGTCACATGCTTTACTATTCATCTATTCTTTGTGTTTTTCCAAGCCACCTATTTTCTCATTAAAAGGTATCTGCTCCTTCTTTTCTGTATCCACAGACCATTTCTCCCTCTCAGATTTTTCTCTCCCTCTTATTTTGCCCTTTCTCAAAGCCTAATCCTGCCCCCTCCCACACTGATAAAGGCAGTTAAGTCTGATATTTTATGCTGAAGATATTGTTAGTGATCAGGATAACTTCATGGTTAGAGGCAAAGACAACCCATCTAGCCAGAAGCTGTTGGTATGGTGAAGGTTTGGTTCATGCTACAGAATTTTCTTGAAATTTCTCCCATATACCCAAATGGCTAAAACTATTAGTCAGCTGATCTTCATTTAAGATACTTCAGTGAGGAGCTTTCCTCTTCATTCCCCTTCTTATCCCAAAACTTTTTTGGGGACCTCTCTTCTCAATGAGCCTAACGAATCCTGGAAGATACCATCCACTTTGAGGTCTTATGCATTGTCATTTGTTTTGAGCAACATTGAAATGCTGCACATTAGGTTGTTAAATAATTCTCATCAGTTGTGAAACTGTTCTGTTTTGAAATGCATATATTTCACAGAGAAAAGGACAGAATTGATCCCTTCCAGCTATTTAGGTAACAACCAAACAAAAGCTGTGTTCTGTCTTTGGTAGCTGTGCCATACTCTTCACTGCAGCAGTGGATGCAGAAATGGAAATGCTGCAACCAGACTTCCCTATTACATTTTATTCTGTTAGTAACTGGAGAATGTTTCAAACTATGTCTTGCTTTTGCTCAAGGTAGTCAAGCTTGCTGCATCTTCAGCTCTTTTGCTTTGACTGGGGAAAAAGAAAGCGCAACTTGAACTTTCAAAAGAAAAATAGTTCTCAATTTTATTGCTGGGCTTCCATCAGTAGCTCTCCAGGTGCTACTGATTATAAAACCTGTCCATATTTTAATAATCTTCACTAATTTGTCATTGCCATCTTAACACAAGGTCTGTTTTAAGAGCACATTGAACACTCACATCTTCTGACTTAAAAGGAAAAGGAAAGAAAAATAGAGAGCATAAGACAATAAAACCCAAGCCTGTAGAAAGAATGTTTCATTACAATAGTTGTGGGGTTTCTTTTTAATTATATGTAATAAAAAACTTACAGATGATGCTCACTCTTTGGATGAGGGGATAAGACAAGAAAAGTTCCTTGCCTGAGGCCTAGGTTTGGAAATCTAAACCATAGTTAGCTGGCATTGTACTTTTTGATAATAGCAATGTCACCAGTGATGTAATGATGACTTTTCCTCCCCTTTGATGATATGTTGTCCTGCAGATAATTATTGGCATGATAGCAGATGATACAGTAAAATATTATGATGGAAGACACAAACAGTTTCCCATATAATAAACTGCTTTTTTGTAGAGTCTGCATTCCCACAGTGGGATCTGGTCTTCGATGGGCAGGATTGTATCAGCAGAGACTGTCTCTGTGGTTGTATAGAGTGTGTCCCAGCAGTTTTAGAGCTGATGACATTACAACAGGATTGGACTTCATTGCAGTGCTTGGTTTTCTGTGGGGCTGTTGCTTAGATCTGCAGGGGGGAGAGAGCCTTAGGAAATGCAAGACCAGTGTTTAACAAAACTTACCTTCTTCCTCCTCTCTCCTTTTCTTCACAGAAAATATCAGAGAGGAACCCGGGTACGCCTGAGACTGCTGGATCTTGAACTGACGTCCAGGTTTTTGGGGGCAGCCAGTGACACAACATTGCTGGAAGCTGATGCAGTGCTTTTGGGACTTGCAGAGAGCAAGCAAGCAAAGCAAAAGGAGTAAAATTACTGCAAAGATATGTACTTTGTGCTCTAAAACTTACTACATTAATTAAATGCTTCCTCAGGAAATAAATGAAAATTTTCTGTCCACTTAGTCATGTAAAAAAAGAGGTCAATAAAATACAATAGGCACATTGTACCTAGTTCTTGTCCCATTTGTATTCACTCATCTATCTAGCTCTTTGCCTTTAGATTTTAAGGTGAAGGTTAACTGAATGTGTTCATATTCTTGTATAAAGAATTTCAGAGTCCATCATACTATCCCAAAGGAATGGTAATTTTCCGTGGAGGAAGTCCAAAGCTTGCTGTCATGGTGCTGCTTTTAGGATGGTGTTTCATACAGAACAACATCAAGGGTTTCTGATTTCCAAGTTGCAGTGCAGGCTGTTTTGCTGCTGATACTGGGTTTACTATCTGTTACACTGCATCAAGCTTTTATCTCCATCTGCATGAGGAACTAGAGATTATTCTTTGCTTTAATCAGAGTTCCCATTTCCAATGCATGTGAGTAAATTTTCCCTGGTGGTTCATAAAAATGGAAAGAAGCTGTTTCAATTAAGTTGGCCAAGTGTAGGTCTTAGTTTCTGTAAGTATATTTAAGATAAATATAGTGGGTGTTTGAACACAATAACCAAAGAATTATCCTATGGTATTTCCTATATATTTTTGGTGGTTTTGTTATCAAAGAACGCTTCTTTTGTTTTCTAATATAACCAAGCCTGAATTCTGCAGTCATTTGTGATCTGGATAGTGCCTAGCAGGTGTGCTGAGTGAAAGTAAAATTTGCCATTCCTACCACTGAATTGCAAAAGAAAGCCTGTTTAATCTTAAAATATTTTTTCCCAAATGTTGGAATGAAATGAGGTTTGTTAGGATAGTATACCTTGTTTGTCTGCAGTGACTGTCCAGTGACAATGTGTTCCTTTTATATGTATGTTATTCAGCAGATTGCACAAAATTCAGCAAAACATACACTGTCTTAAGCATGTATTACCCAGATCCACTGACACCTTATCTTTCTGCTGGAGGAGGCCATGTGAGCAGTGATGGGGCCACTGGAGGATGGTGTAGCTCCTTCTGCCTCTCATGACTGATGTCTCAGTCCCATGAGGGAAGAGGAGGTAAGGGATCCCTAAAGAAGCAGGGTACCAGAGAGCCAGTTCCAGGTTGCCACAGCTCACACATCCCTTCCCTTGCCTTCATCTGAGAAGTGCTTGGATAAGATGGCATCAGTGCAGAAATGGGGAGCAATTCTGTTAGATCACAGCTGGCTGGTGGGTCAGGTTGCCACCCAAGCTCTGCAAGTCTTCATATGGTCCAACAAAATTTGTTTATAACAGTGTTCTAAAGCTTTAACTTGTTTATAAGTTAACCATTGTAATTTCTTTTTTAAAGGTTTTTGAATTTTTTTTTAATATATAAAAAGAAAAGCAAAAGGAAAGCTGAAGTGCCTTCTTACCTGGAACTACAGCCATATGCACAGTGGTTTGATTGCTGCTCATACCTATGGTTAAAAGAAAATCTTTAACCAAATAAACAGAAGAAAACTAATTTCCTACCTTTGCCCTCTCATAACACTGAAACAAGAGATACAGTGCAGACAGAATCATAGAATTATTAAGGTTGGAAAAGATCTTCATGATCATTGCATCTAACTGTTAACCCAACACTAAACCATGTCCGTAAGTGCCACATCTACACATTTTTTGAACACTTCCAGAGGTGGTGGTTCCACCACTTGTCTTGGCAGCCTGTTCCAATGGCTGACATCAACTGATATGGGAAGTTTCCAAGATACGCCTCATGCATGATCTGTCAAGAAGAATATTTTTAGTATAAGGTATTTATTTACCAAAATACTAGTAGGAATCACACAGTAAATGCATAACCATTCTGAAGGAATGGACATGTTCCAGCAGATCCTTTTAAAGTTTTGCAAACAAATTCTGTTTCTGAAATCAGTAAGGATCCAAGCAAGAGAGAGGAAACAAGTAATGTAAGCTTATTTTGTTGTTTTAATTTTCTCATTCATCTCAGTGATCTTAATTAGGGGATTTTTAACATGAATTTCATTGGGTGTTAGCCTCCAGGTAAAGAGTTATGCTATCACTAGAGTTAGGAAAAGAAGGCCTTTTAAGAAGCGAGGAGGGATTTAAAATATCAGAAAAATCCTGTCTGTTGAATGTAACTCATCCTCAACCTTCAATAAAAGTGATTTGGGAGGAAGTATATGTGTTAATGTTTTGGGGCAGAATAAGAGTTATTTCACAATAGGGTAACAGTGATTTTATCAAACCTTCTTCTGGATAACCTTTAGAGAAGTAGCTTTCCGAGGCCGTAGTGGTCACTATTTCAAATCCAGCTTAGTGTTCTATTTAGAAATCCAAGGGTTGACATAAACTGACCCAGTCACACAAATTGCAGGATTGAACCTCCAATGGCTTTAGGCTGCTGCTAGTCTTTGTGGCCTTTGGTGAAGCAGTGTTGTCCCAGTTTGTTGGAGGAGTCCCTGTTTGGGGCAGCCTGTGCCCATTGCACAGTTCTGCAGAACTCCCAAAGGTAGAGTTGCAAAACCAGAGCAGAGAATTATGAAATGTCTTTGTGGTGGGCTGCTGTACTTTGCATTTCATAGCTATAATACCTGCTTTTACCAAGAATATGTGGAGGCTACATGTCCTTAACACAGAGTAAGAAACCACCAGCATTCATTACTTAGTAGCCACAATGGCACAGTTGCATGACCTGTGTCAATAAGACTATTCTTATTTTTTACTCTGGTCTTTTATCAGAGTAGAAACTGATAATGCAAGCAGGTATTTCTAGGGCCATCCATAAAGAAAAATAAATGTGGACTCTTTATTGCTGGTTGCTTCCCTAGGAGTTCCCTTTTTTCCTCATGGCCAAATTCCTTTTTATTCCTGTCTGCATTTTCTGCTGTCAAATGTGCACAAATGTACGTACAAGAGCTGTGCACAGTGAAATCTCCCTGTCCATGTGCTGCAGATCCCTGAGTGGCCTTGCATGTGTCTTGGTTTGGGCAGTGGTATCAGTCTGAATTTTTGTTTGGAGGTCATTCTTACTTCAGGTAAGAGCATAACATGAAGAACATGTTAAGCCAGCCCAGAAGCTCCTGTGGCGCTGTGCCCAGCCCAACCACCTCCTGGAATACTCTTACCACGATATAAATTACATGTACAACTAATGTGAACCAAATGAATGCTACTTATACGTATCAGGATTCCAGCTGTAAATGGAAATGCATAATTTTGCTGAGAATCCTGAGGGCAGTATGAACCAAGTTGTGCAACTGTCTTTGACTGCCAAAATCAGGAACTTCTCTACATGCCATGCTGCATTTTCTTCTAAATTTTGTAATTTTGTCTTACTCTGAAGCACAGACCAGATGAGCAAAGTTCATTACTAAAATCGTACAGATTTCTTCTCTCACCTTTTTTTTGATTATGCAGCTGAGAAGACATTTGTTTCATCATCTGCTTTTCAGACATGTGGGTTTTTTTCCTGTAACAGTCTTGAGTTTTGAAAGTGTGGAATGGTTTTCTTTTCTCTGAAAATTTTCAGGTAACAACACAAACCCCACATCATTAGCAGATACTGAGTTTTCATTTTTCTCTATCATATTCTGCTTTGCATGCTGCCCATGTCTCTTAGTTGACAAATTTGTCACGTAGATTTGGATGAGCATGACAGATTCACATCAAGTAGTTGTAATTCATGATTGGTGTAAAATTTGCACTTGGTATTATAATGCTGAGTGCTCAGAGAGCAGCATGAAATGCATCTTCAGCAGAGGGAAGAGGAGGCTGCTGCCATCGTGGCCTTGCCTCCTCACTTGGTTGGGAACTCTCTGGGTAATTGTGGTGGGCAGGCTGAAGTTCTCCCTTCTGCACAATCAAGGAATATTTCCACATGTTCTGCAAGGAGGACACTTAATCTTTTCTAGACCTGTAACTGAAGAGCTTGTGAGCTTCACTCTAACCCACTTCCACTTCTCAGTCCACTTATGTGCCTGAATGTCCATGGTGTTTCTGGGTTTACCGATGCGGTTTAAAGCAAAGTTATCTTTAATAAAAACTGAATCAAAGCTGGCTTGGGTTTTAGCTGAAGTAATAGTTTCTTCTTTTGTGTTTATTATGAACCTGTTTTGAAGGCTTTAAAAAGTTGTCCTAGAATCCTACCTTTTATTTTATGAACAGAACATTAAACACTTTAAACATACCTGGAAAGCAAAATATTATGTTGTGGAGTTGGAAGAAAAATGATCAGTGTCCAGTGTTTCTTTGATGACTGACCTGGTGAATCCTCCCAGGCTTATCTGCCCTTTCAGATTCCAGGCATTTAGGTGATGAGATGGGGAGAAAGGGAAACACCAAAGAAATCAGGCCTGCCTATTGAAAATAAATTACCATCTTGCCACCAAAGCTTTGGCACTGAGCTAATTTCTAAAGAAAAGAATACTTCACATTTTGCTTTCCTTTAAGGCATTCTGAAGAGTTTGGGTTCCTCCTCATTTCTTGATACTGTCGCATTTATAAATCAGGCAAATTATTTCTCAAGCTTTTTATTCTTTTTCTTGAAGTGTTAATCCTATATGCTGGGAAAGCTATTCCAGTCTTCTGTTTTGGCTAGAGAGCATTTCTGCTAGATACAAGCATGCACTCTACATGCATTTTTTAGTACATTATACATTCTGGAGAAGCATTTATCGCATATGAAAGGTCTAAACTGCCCAAATGGGGCTATTACATTGTCATCTGGCCATAACCCAAAATAAATATTATCCCTGGTATGACTGCATTAGACTAACATGAGTAAGATCTTAAACACCTCTAAGTGTTCTTGTTGCCTTCTCGGTTGTGCCTTATTCAATCAGAGTTAAGCACCCTGATGCACTCACTGCTTGGTGGCTCTAATGAGGAAATCTGCCATTTAACTTCTGTCTGCAGCAGGCTGCGTGTCAGGAGCAGCCAAAAGTTACACTTCCCAACTGGGTTAAGGGATCCAAGGCATCCTTGGAATAGTCACTCTGTAGCTTTGGGTCAGCCTCTGAAAGTGATGGCATATATAAATTGCTTTAAAATGTTGACTTTCAAAGTAGTACACTAAGTCTTTTTTCTCCCATTGA